GTACTGTTATGTCCACGTTTCCGGCTCCTGCAATTGCAATTGTTTGTTATATCTTACTGTCTGCTTGTGACTGTAAGATACTCTTGTGAAGACCTAAACTTATTCCTCTGATCTACCCCAAGTGCAACCGATCACATAGGGACATGCGATCCATGCCTCTTGGTATATTCATATGACATCTTAAACCACGCTTCACCCATGAAATATAAGGGATTATTAGGTCACATTATATTACATGGAACCCCTTACCTACCAGACCAGACCACTAATATGCGCATCTGTGGAAACCCACAAATTGAGACTACCTCTAAAATCCAGGTTAGTTAGACTTTGTCTCTGCTGTCCACTGTGCAACTCTAGCAAGGAGCACATTCTGGTTGATCTTCTATTGGCCTTAAGACACTCGTGTTGTACTGATGCTAAGAGATGACAGACTCAACTACATTTACAACTTATATCTTACTCTCTAAAAACGGAAAAAAAAAACAACAACTAGGGTCTTGTCACAGTTTTATATTGAAAATATGTTTCAGTTACGATTTTGCGATTGTTTGGTCAAACCGAGGAAACTCGTGAATATATACAACCCAACTTTAAGAGTTAAGTGAGGATGTGTTGTATTTGAGGGATGCCTAAATTGAATTTAAAATTGAAATCGTGATTGCGCCCTAGTTACCCCTCCCAAGAGAGAATGTTAACAACAATCATATTTTTCATCACCACTTCAGGATTCAACCTGCCCAAACAGATGGTTTTGAGGGTCTTCGAAGTCTTCACCACTTCAAGACCATTCATAATTTTTAGATTGCCTAAACTCTCACTTCAAAATGTTCATTACCGGATTTTGAGCTACTCGTTGACCGCTTGTGCCAAAAAAAAAAAAAAAAGACACTAGTTCGCGACTTCCTGTCACATGAGTTTTTCTACCACCAAACCCTACCAAAAGGTCGAAAACCTTCATATCTACTTTGGGGTTTGAAAATCTTACTTAAATATACCCTTACCAAATTTAAAAAACATCATGTCGGTGTTGCTCATCTTGACAGATTGTGGATTAACTGACACACAAAAAAATGCTTAAGCCACCCCTCTACCCGCCTCTTGGAAATTTCCCTCCCTGTCAGTTTGGGCGTTTTTTATTTTTTGGGGGGGACGAATGTTGCCAACTGACGAGCACTGTTTTTTTTTTTTGCTCAGAGGAATTCACAAAAAATTCTTAAAATTTGAGGGTCCATAGATTAGGTAGTTGATATTTCCACGGGAAAAGATCGTGATCTTTCCACGAGAAAAGGTCGTGATCTTTCCACGAGAAATATCAGGGGAAAAATAAATGAATAATTTTGCCTGTTAAATAATCGTTGCGCTGATTCGAAATATTTTCATTTTTGCTAGTCTACCATGTGGCAACTAACAAGAGTACGACAACTTGGCAATCATGAGTACAAATATGATAATAAAGGTGAAATTTCACTAATCCAAAAGAAAGAAAATCATAAGTACCACTTACTACGTTTCTCAAGTATTTTTCTACGAAGTAGCTGTATGCATGCGGCGTATGGTTGGATGCCGGTTCGCAAAAAATATATCCACGCAAATAACGTTGCATTCATGACCTATTTTGCCTTGATGTACTTTTTGCAAAGTGGCACGTTGGTGCAACTTGCCAGGCGATGCACACACAACCGCGTGGGAGAAAAATGGCTCGGAAGCCTACAAGTGGTTAATTCAAGACAAATGACTTTGAACTGTGCAGATCCATCATGTTGCACAACCAGTACCTTTCCCATATATAGGTTGTGGGCCTTGCGCACCAAGCTTTGCGGATGCATTTGGCCGTCTTGACCAGTCGAATTTGGCCTTTGTGTTACCCGGCGCGGCTCGACAAAATGGCCGGGAAAAGCACTGGCGGGGTGATGTTTTTTTTTTCCTTTTCCCCAAGAAAATGGGCCCCAATACCCAAGGCTCATATTACATCATCATGGTACAACGGTAGATGCAAGCCTATCCCCGTCAAGACCGGGAGAGTTAGGGTCACTCTTCCCTTGAGATATATTTGTTGTTCAGCTCTATGGGCGTCATTGATTACCTCCCAACCAACAGGGACGGATTATCCTCTCAGTCCCCAAGTAAATGGGGGCCAGTGCCCAAGGCTCATATTAACCATCATGATACAACGGCATACGCACACCTCTCCCATCTAGGCTAGAAGGGCTATGGCCACTGCTCCCTCAAGATAAATTTCTTGTTCAGCTCTATGGGCGACATTGATTAGCTCCCCCAAATACCTCCACCCGCCCCTCTCTCCTGAGGGGCATGTGGGCAGGTGTGCAGATGGGAAATCCCTTTCCAAGCGCCACCTACTCATTTATCTTTCGTACATCCCAGTAGGTTGCCTCCCATCACAGTCTGGCAGGCCGTGTTCATGAAGAAAAGGGGTACCCAAAATCCCCTGCTGCAACTTCGAGTTTCAGGGGTTGATTCCTCTGGGCCAGAAGTGTACCCAACCCATCAGAGCAGCCATGGAGTAAGTCCATGGTGTTGTAGAGGCCAGTTGCATGGTGTTGTAGAGGCCAGTTGTAGAGGCCAGAAGCGGTCAACTATAGTTGCCCTGAAGAGACGAGGCCACCTCCCATCCCATCCTCGCGTTGATACTCCTAGCGCACCCCCTATTCCTACTATCCTACCTTAGTGTGACCAGCACTTAGGACCGTTACCCTACCAATATCGAAGGGAACTTGGACCGAACATTAGTGACAAGCACCAGGACTAGTGACCTAGCCCTGATGGAAGCGTAGTCGAACGAGCCTCGTCGCATGGAAACTTCGGACACCAGGCTCAAACAATCACCTATTAGCCCCTAAGTAGACCAACTAGTAACTCGCGTATCATCAGTTGGTCATGACCTCCTCCCAGCCCTATGGTTATATATATATGTGTGTATGTTCTGTACTGTGTAGCAGACCGAACATGTTCGGAACGTTTCCGAACGTCCGAACATTTTCGGGTGTTCGACCGAATGCCCCCCGAACGAGTTCGACCGAACATTTAAAAAAATATATATATATATATATATATTTTGGGTTTTCGATTTTTAACTCGAGTATGGTTACGAATTTGAGCATACCTCTGAGGAAAAAGTTGTTGGTATTATTATTTAACATAACATATAGTTTTTTCAGATTTGTCTGAGAATTTTTATTTTTTATTTTTTAAATATTTTTATGTTCACGTTCGGAAAGTTTTGGCGCTCTTTCGCGTTCGGTCCCGAACATTCGGGTTCCGTGACCGAACCCGAACACGATGCTACACAGGTTCTGTATATATATGTGCCCGTAGGCTGTGTACATTTGTAATGTATCTAGACCCGTAGCAGACGCTGCTCCCCACCATGGAGCATCTCCGAAGTGAGTACCAGTGAGAGGTGCTCCTCTCACCTTCACCAGTACCTGTGTGAGCTATATATATGTGTAGGTAGTGTGTATCCCCCTAGAAGCACCTTGCCTCGATGATCCAGAGGGGCGACCCTATGCGCCCTTAATCTGTTGCCAACGAATAAACAGCCCTCCTCTAAAACCTGGTAATGAGCTAGGGCTCCTCCCCCCCCAAAGAACCCATGCGTCACTTTGTCTATCCTCGGTAGTAGACTGTCTCCCACCTATCCGCAAATTCCGGTCATCGGCTAGGTACTTCCTATAGGGATCGGAAGGGACAGACTACAGAGTCAGTAGGTGGTGGGCCATCATCCGTTCTTCCACTGCCCCCAGCCTTGTCCCTCCGATGTGCCTATCGTGGTTGTACCTGTAGTCAGTATATGGGGTAGTGTCTCACGTGTGTGAGCTATATATGTGTAGGTAGTGTGCATCCCCCTAGAGTGGACGCTTTTTGTGGTCTTGGCTTGCACAAAACTTCGACCAAAAAGGGCTTTTTCCTCTTTACAATTTCCAAAGTTTCAACGGTAAGAAACGAAGTGTCAGGTAAGCGAAGCCTCCCGGCATGTGTGTACCATACCATTCAACCATGACGACCTACCTACCGTAGGTCTGATCCCACACTCTCCTCGATCCGAGAGCATCCCTCAGAGGTGGACCCCACCGGACGGCGGCTGGAAAACCCGCGAGGCCATTAAAAACGGCCCACCGTCGTTGGAACGTGTTTGGCAGATTTTGTTGGCACCCCACCGCGACCGCAAACTTTGGCATTGGAAACGGCCACACTTGCCCGAATAGGGAAACTTGAAAGGCCAGGTCCAAAATAGGAAAGTTTGGTAGGGGCACCGGTCCATGGCCTTCCGTTGTGGTTGTCCGCAGCGGCAACGCAGGTCCAAAAAATGGTCCCCTCCACCGCTGCGTGGACCATGCCGTCTGGCCCTCCGATGCCATCGGAGAACATGCGCCCCCCCCTACTCTGCTGGGGGCCATGTTTGGAAAGGGAATGCTGCGATCAGGCAGCGATTTTCCAAACCGCCGACCATGTAGAAAAGCCCCGTCAGCATTTCGGCAACCCCTTTCCATCACTGGTCGGGTCTGGAAAACCTTTCCAAAGAGGCTTTCCACACCTCTCCAAAACGATCGGCCGCTTTTTTTTTTCCAAGCCGCCGTCCGGTGGGGTCCACGTCTCACTCATTCGGAACTGCAGGGGCTGGGGCCTGTATTCAAGAAGGGTGATTTGGGCCCCGCGCTATGGATTTTCCCTGAGCCGTCCTTTCCTCAGGTCCATCTTCTTCGGCTGGCAATGGCTGATGAACGAGGCTGGCGATGGCTGATGAACGAGGCCGGCGATGGCTGATGAACGAGGCCATGGCTGGTCAACGAGGCCGGCGACGGCTGATGAACGAGGCCGGCGATGGCTGATGAACAACGAGGCCGGCGACGGCTGATGAAACAGGCCGGCAATGATCAGCGGCGCTCTCGGATCGCACGGCCCTGGGGAACGCCGTCGCAGACTTTGTCAAAGGGGCGGCATTGGCTAACTGTGAAGCGCCACGTGGCGTAGGTCGGGAACACCTATCACACATACACACACACACACACACACACAGAGAGAGAGAGAGAGAGAGAGAGAGAGAGAGAGAGAGAGAGAGAGAGAGAGAGAGAGAAGCTACAATGGAAGATGATTGCATTGCGCGCCAATCGCAAGTGGAAGATCACTGCAGACCATCGGGTTTCGGATGTGCAGGAACGGCAGAGGCCCACGAGGAAGAGGAGGAGGAGCTCAGATGGGAGATTCTCTGCAGTTTGAGGCAGATGGAGAAATCGACGGTTGTGATCGAGCAGCTTAGACGCCTGGGTGGCGGTCGCATTGCGCGCCAAGCTCAGACCTATTTTTTCCGTTGCTGCGTTGACGACCCGGTTTCGAACCGCTACCCTCCTCCCGCCAAATACCTCCAGAACCTTTTAAAACGTGTAATCCTCGCCGCAGAAAGGGACGGCATCGTTGTTCTCGATGAGCTGTACGATATACACAGCAAGCTCCTGGTTTCGTCATCGCAAAAGCGCGAGCAGCAGCGATGGCGGCGGCAGGCGCAGCCGCAGCAGAGCTTTTGGCTATGGCGTCAAGAGCCGGAGGCGGCGGCGGCGGCGCAGAAGCATTCTTTGCTGGAGGATCAGGATGACGAAGGATGGTGCTTCAAGACCTACGCTTATGTAATGACTCCCCAGCCGCTTGCTCTGCTTGCTAGTCGCCGTCAGTACCCATCGAGAGATGGACAAGCCTTCACTAACGAGAGGAGTTTCACACGAAATCGCGGTCGGGACGAAGTCCGGGATCGGGATCGTCGACAGCTTCAAGAGGAGATTAGAAAACAGGTCCAGAAGCAGGAACGGGTTCACGATGAGACTCGAAGACAGGTCCGAGATCAAGAAATGCGCGGGGACGAGGGTAGGAAGCACGGTCCGGATCGGGATTGGGAGCAGGGTCGGAGTGGAGAACAGGGTCGAGAGGAGGTCTGGACACGGGCTGGGGCTGGCGGTCAGGCAGAGGAAGGTGAAGATTGGAGTTGCAGGCGCGTAGGTCGTGGTGGTGGCTACCAGGATCGCGATCGGGATGCGAGTGGGAGGCCGGTTCGTGATGCGGACGAGACGAGACATCGAGATCGCGATCCGGACGAGGCTCGTCGGGAGGAAGGTCGGGATGGGGATGGCCACGGCATGGACATCCATGGACCCCGGGGAGGAAGTAGGGAGGGAGAGAGAGACACGCACGAGTGGGAGGAGGTTCACACAAGAGGAAGGCGCATGATGACGATGCAATCGCTCGACGAGCTTATCGAGGGACACGTGGAGGGAGGAGAGAAGGTCCGAGAAGAGAAAAAGCGGAAAGAAGAGAGGGAGGAGAAATCTGTCGTCCCTGTCGATCTAGTAACCGTTCGTGTTTCTGAGAACTTGTTAGAGGGAAGCACAGGGTGTGTAGCTTGGGGTGCAGGGTTCTACCTGGCAGAAGTGGTGCTGACTTATCCTGCAGTATTTGCAGGGCGGACCTGCCTGGAGTTGGGATCGGGGACTGGGCTCGTGGGAGTCTGCCTTGCCAGACTCCAGGGAAGCAATCGTCCCCTGTATTTGACCGATGGGAACGATGAAGCCTTGTGCAATCTGTCAATCAACCTGGCAATCAATGGCATTGCCGTAGGAGGAGGAGGAGGAGGAGGAGGAGGAAAAGAAGAGGGAGGAAGAGGAAAAGAGGAGGGAGGAGGAGGAAAAGAGGGGGGAAGAGGGAGAGGTGGAGAAGCCCCATTAGCTACGCGCTACGTAAGCAATCTGTCAATTGATGGTGATTCAATGTCATCAGCAGTGCAAGGAGAAGGAATTGGAATACGTCCATCTGATCATCGGCGTCAGTCCCGTCAGCATCGGACGGTGATTGTCGACAAGCTCTGCTGGGAGGATGCAGCACAGGAGCCTCGCAAGCTTGAGTCGTACGGAGCGGATGTCATATTGGGAGCAGACATTGTCTATGATCCTTCAGTCGTGCCCACCCTCGTGGAGGTGCTCGGTATTTTGTTGCGATGCAAAGGTAGAGTATGTATAGACCAGAGAGGAGACGAGATAGGTGTAGGGGTAGGGACAAGTGTGTGGGGTGATAACGCCAGCAACAGCAGCAGCAGCAGCAGCAGTAGGCATGAGAGGAACGTTGACATGGAAAATGAGGACGAAAATGATGAGATCGGAAGAGGCGGGAATAGCAACGGTGGCGTGGCAAAGGGGCAGCGAAATGATGACGTGGCAACGAAGCAGCGGAGTGATGACGTGTCAACGGTCCAGAGAAATGATGATGTAACGAAGGATCAGCGGAAGGATGACGTGGCAAGCGATTGGGGCGGCGATCAGAATGGAAGGGAGGCGAAGAATGTGGAATGCAATAAAGATGATGACGTCAACGGTTGTTGGCGGCATCCGACGACGAGACCAGTGGCCTACGTGGCAAGCACAGAGCGCAATGAGCAGACCATGCTCTGCTTTCTTGACGCGGTAGCGGGATCGGGACTGGCGGTGATGGATGTGACAACGAGATTAGCGCCGGACTTGTGCTTCAAGTGGGTGAGCGATATCGACAGGTCACGGGTTCGACTCCACAGAATTTTTGCAGCGTAGATTCCCGCCAAAATAAAACCGGGGCGGGCGAGCGATAACGACAGGTCACGGGTTCGACTCCACAGAATTTTTACAGCGTAGATTCCCGCCAAAAACTCCACAGAATTTCCACAGAATTTTTATAGCGTAGATTCCCGCCGAAAACTCCACAGAATTTTTACAGCGTAGATTCCCGCCAAAAAAAAACCGGGCCGGGCAAGCCATGTCGACAGGTCAGGGGTTCGACTCCACATAATTTTTACAGCGTAGATTCCCGCCAGAAAAAAAACGGGGCGAGCGGTATGGACAGGTCACGGGTTGGACTCCACAGAATTTTTACAGCGTAAATGCCCGCCAAAAAGAAACCGGGGCAAGCGGTATAGACAGGTCAGGGGTTCGACTCCACAGAATTTTTACAATGGACAGGTCACGGGTTCGACTCCACAGAATTTTTACAGCGTAGAATCCCCCCAAAAAGTAACGGTGGCGGGCCAGCGATATCGACACGGGTTCGACTCCACATAATTTTTACAGCGTAGATTTCCGCCAAAAAGAAACTGGGGCCTGACTGTCTTCTCACTGTCTGTCAAGTGGGTCACAGATCTGGACCAGATGCATTGAATATTTGCCAGTGAGTGGAGTTTCCGCCGGTGCTGCAGACTGTCGCTCTTTAGAGCCTTGCCGCGGCCGTCGTACTTGCACTGCTAGACTTTCTTGGAGGTATCCGACCGCAATTATGTTCAAATTCAGTCAAAAAAGTGCATGTGTGATAAATGTGTCCCCTTTGGTGAGAAAACGGAGAAGTCCTGATGGTCTCTCTCTCCATTGCCCCGCCACCTCTATTCTGTCCACAAAAAAAATGAATGAATTGAGGTGAGGAGAGCGCGTATGCGACACGCTCTTTGACTTTTCCAATTGAATTTGACTGTGACTACGACCAGATACCTTGGAAACCGAAGCCTGAGAATATCCTCCGGGCATTCCACTAGATCCATCACCTAACACTACTCCTAAGCCTATACAGAGGAGGCCTGCAAGCATAGGTACCTCTCACAATGAAGGGCTGCACGTTGGCCCCTGACTACCCCTAATGGGGGTGGGTCAGGGAGTAGGGTTGGGCCCCCTCCCGGTGGAGGTGCCTGGCTAACGCAAAGACCGAGCATTTTCCCAGCAGCTGCACCTCCCATCTCATTCCCTAAGAGGAGTTTTTTTTTTTGTTTCTTTTTTTGGGGGGAACGACATGGCGGCCCGGCATTGGCTCTAATCCAGAGCTCTGAACACAGCTGATCGACTGGTTGCCGTTTGGTCAATAATTTTGATTGGATTTGTTTACATTTGATTGCACTTTTGTGGGGACATTTGATTGCATTTCATTGGTTTTGGCTGAAATTTTGATTGGATTTGTTTGCATTTGATTCGACTTTTGTTGGGATTTGATTGCATGCCATCATTGGTTTTGACTGAACTTGGCATGTGATTGGTTTGGATTGCATTTGATGTACAATGTGCGACAATGGGCTCTGCTGCAGCACTCTGGAACCAACCAAATGTGTGCAATGGCTATTGTCTTCCCCCGAACATAACGCACCCTAAAAATGAATGTATACAAGCTATATTTATACGAACAAAATAAGGGTGCGTTGTGTTCGGGGGAAGACCGAAGGGTGTATCTCCAGCTAGAAGGTCCAAAGATACCCTCACTTACCATTTTGTGTTCTTTCTACCCTCACTTGCCATTTTGTGTTCTTTCTCACGTTTGGCGGGGGAGAGGCCGAGCACAACCCAATGCCTCCCTGCAATTGGCTACATTCCGCACTCGTTCATTGATGATGATGATGATGACGACAAGGAGGAGGATGACGAGGATGATGATGTTTCGCAAATTCGGCGAGGGGATGGTCGTGACTTGGCATACCTTAGTCGCGAGGGACGTCTTGTCCACCAGATTTGGGAAAAGGGTCTTGAGGGGTTCAATGCTGTCATTGCCTCCGTACAGATGGTCGATGAGCGACGCCATGTAGATGTGTGTGTCGTGAGGAAAACCAAGGGCGCGTAAAAAGAGGCCAGCTTCTTCTGGAGTGACAGGACATTTCCCTTGTGCTCGCAACCGCGCTGGATTGAGCGTTTCACGTTTCCGTCGGTTATCGAGATTCCAGTGCGATTTCCTGTATTCCTATCATGATGAAATTCAGGTTGTCTTTATGGAAGTTAGTCACTGTGGTTTAGCACAACACTGCCCACCATTTTCTCATGAAGCGAGAGCATAACAAATTCTCATCACAACTCAGCTCAACTCAACTCAGCACAAAACAAAACTCAATGCAACATAACAGAACATGGGAGGCAGGCAGGCAGGGAGGGAGGGAGGGAGGGAGGGAGGGAGGGAGGGGGAAAGGAGGAAGGAAAAGAAAGAAAGGAGAAAGGAAAAGAAGGAAAGCAGGTTTCTTATCAGTGTGCCATGGTGTCACATTCAATGACCATTCTAGGAAAAAAAAGGAGGAAAAGAAAGGGTGGGAAAATTTTTACTCAGCGCATCACACAGTAGCGCATTCAGCAACCAGCCACACGAAGAAGAAGAAGAAGAAGATGGGAGGAGTCACAAGAAGAAGAAGAAGATGGGAGAAGCCCAATAAGAAGAAGAGGATGTGAGAAGCCACATAGAAGAAGCAGCAGAATCAGAAGCAGAAGCAGAAGAAGAGGAAGAAGAAGAAGATGGGAGGAATGTGGCTTGTCTTGAAGAAGAAGAAGAAGAAGAAAAAGAAGAAGAAGAAGAAGAAGAAGAAGAAGACAAAGACGAGAGAAATGTGGGTTGTTTTGTAGTGTGCTTCAACGACCAGCCACAACAATGTGGGTTGTTTTGTAGTGTGCTTTAACGACCAGCCACAAGAAGAAGAAGAAGAACAAGAGGAAGTAGAAGAGGAAGAAGGTGGAGGAGGAGGAGGAGGAGGGAGGAGGAGGAAGAAGAAGAAGAAGAAGAAGAAGAAGAAGAAGAAGAAGAAGATGGATAGCAGTATGTGCTGCTCTTTAATGTGTTGGAAGGAGGAGGAGGAGGAGGAGGAGGAGGATGGGTAGTAGTATGTGTTGATCTTTAATGTGTTGGATTTTTTTGGGGGTGGAGACTGGCCATTTGGAGACCATTCATTCGCTACAGGTTGGCTTTCTTTTCCAGTCCGAGGTCGATCAGGGAGGGGTCCCCTTATCCTACAGACAGCGGTGCAATCCTCTACTTGGGTGGCAATACACAGCAGTGCTTCATACTGATTGCACTATGTTCACACTCGTTATTTTCACAGAGAAACTCACCAACGGAAGGAGCACAGGACAAAAGAAGGCACTCTGCACACTGTGGGTCTGTTCCAACTCTTAGATACCGATTAACACGAGCGACCCATTATAAAAACACCGATCAAGAAAAGAAAAGAAAAAAACACCGATCGACACGCGTGGCCCGTTACAGTCTGCAGAATCCCCTACTGATGGCAGTGCTAAAAGGTTAAAAAGCCATAGACGATATCTTGTGCCCCAGTTGCAGGGGGGGGCACTCACAAGAATCAATGCCATTTTTGACACCCATAATGCAACAAAAAAAAAAAGCAGAATTTCCAAGAAGGCTGTGATTTTTCTTCATGGGTGTCCGAAAGCGTTTTGAATTTTCTTCAGGGGTGTCGGAATGAAAAGGGTTTGATTTTTCTTCATGGGTGTCTCCAAAATGGCTTTTTTTTTTTTTTTTTTTTTTTTTGTGGCCAAAAGCGCTTTGAATTTTCTTCATGGGTGTGTAAATAAAAAGGGCTTTGATTTTTCTTCATGGGTGTCTCCAAAAGTGCTTCGAATTTTCTTCATGGGCCTCGAAAAGGGCTCTGAATTTTCTCTATGGGTGTCTAAAAGAAGTTTGATTTTTCTTCATGGGTGGTCAAAATGGGTTTGATTTTTCTTCGTGGAAGTCCAAAAAGGGCTTTGGATTTCCTTCACTGATGGTTCAAAACTACCAGTTCATTTCCCAGCAGCACGAGATTTTGTTTTTGTTTTTGAAACTTCTTTCGCCATGAATCCGCTTTTTCAGAGTCGCTGCCGGGACTCGAAGGAAGTCGGAAGTTCCTGGTCGCTGTTTCGTGTCGCATCCATCCAGGGAAAATGGGTCGCATGCGAAGCCCTTTTGTCCGGATGAATGCCCCCAGCGAAACGGCGCCGTGGTACTTCCCGCGAGTCATGGCAGCATGCACACCACAACTCTGAAAAAATGATTGGGAAACATACTGGTGGTTTAAGTCTGTTAAGTCTGTTGAGCACAAGCCGGAGTCATCCCCCTCTCCCGCCTCCCGTCTCCCGTCTCCCATCTCCCATCTCCCGCTCCCGTCTCCCGTCTCCCCTCGCCGCTCTCCCCTCCCACCCCCCGCGATCTCTGGGGAGCAGAGTACATGAACATCAATCTTGGTCAAGTCTTTTCTGCAAATATCAAATTAACAAAAAGGTACGAAGAAGCAAGAAAAGGTTAGGGTTTAGGGTTTAGGGTTGGGATTACGTGGAGACGCTTGTGCTCATCTTCGCCGCCGCCAAAGTCGCACATAGAGTATGCCACCATGTCTTCCTCAAAGCGCAAATGTAGTGCCAAATATCGTCCGTTGGACCTGGCCTTCATACGGTTCACCATTTGCGCCCCAAGTTTCTCAATTCGATCGACAAATTTCAATGCCTGGAGGTCGAAAACTCGACAGAAAAGGAAGAATCAGGCTCTGATAAAGGGGGGTCTACACCCCTCCCCCGACCCCGACCCACCCAAACAAAAAAGGAGCTGAACAGTTCCCAGTATTTCAACCTCACCCTAGCTTCTTCACCGAAAGCTAGCACTTCGTCATCAGGAGTGGATACAAACCCAGTTCCAGTCCAGATGCAGTACGGTCATGATGTTGCGGCATTCTGTACAGTGAAAGAAGGTAGCCTGAGGTTTCAACATCTGAGGTTTTTTTTTTTTTTTCCCTTCCTTTTTTGCAAGCTTGCACCATTTCTAGAGTTATGTTTGTCATCCTTGCTCAGGGGCCATTTGGTAATTTACCCTTCTCTGTATCGTTCCAATTTTAACGGATACCCTTTTTTTTTCCCACGAAAATACAAGCCGTGCGTGAAATTCTCAACGACTCGACCAAGGTTCGTGCTCCTCACCTGCGAGTTAAAAAATACCATGTGCGTCACTGTGTACCATTCAACCACTACTAAGGGTATGTATATAAGGGACACCTGCAAGCATCGCTATCGCAACCGTGCGATGAATGGATTGCATGTTGCCACTTGCCTCAGTGGTTTAGAGTGCAGGGTTGGGGCCACCAGTGGGCCCCCGGCTAACACAAGAACCGAGCCGAGCATATGGCAGTAGCTAAGCCTCCCTTTTCATCTTCCCCTCCCTTCACCCCTTCACCCCTTC